ATTATAAAACAACTTCTCTAGCTTCATTAAGCATTTTTTTTTTTTTTACCAGAGATTGAACCCAGGGGCACTTAACCACTGAGCCATATCACCGGCCCTTTTATTTTTCATTTTGAGACAGGGTCTCACTAAGTTACTTAGGGCCTCACTAAGTTACTTAGGGCCTTGAGAAGTTGCTGAGGCTGGCCTCAAACCTGCAATCATCCTACCTCAGCATCTGAATCACTGGGATTATAGGCATGTGCCACTGGGCCTAGCTAGAAAGCCTTTTTTTTTTTTTTTAAAGTATTTTTTAGTTGTAGATGGACATAATACCTTTATTTTATTTATTTATTTTTATATGGTGTTGAGGATTGAACCCAGTGCCTCACATGTGCTAGGCAAGCGCTCTACCATTGAGCTACAACTCAAGCCCCTAGTAAGCCATCTTTAACAATTAAAATTTGAGAGGAGAATTTTTTTCCCCTCAGGACACAGGACAGGACTCAGGGCCTTGCATATTCTAGGCAAGTGCTTTGCTATGGAGTTAAATCCCCAACCCCAGGAGAAATTTTTAAAAGTAAGTTGAAAATGTTTTTCTATTATCTCCCTTGGATACAGCAAAAAGTACATTTTTTTTTTTTTAAGATGCCAAGTCTCACTATGTTGTTCAGGCTGGCCCTGAAATCCTGGGCTCAAGTGAATCTCCTTCCTCAGTCTCAGCTGGGACTATAGGAGTGTGCCATCACACCCTGTGGAATTTGTTTTAGTATATATATATATATATATATATATATATATATATATATACACACACACACACACACATACACACACATATATTTAATCTTTATTCTTATTTTTTTAAATATTTATTTTTTAGTTGTAGTTGGACACATACCTTTATTTCATTAATTAATTTTTATGTGGTGCTGAGGATGGAACCCAGGGCCTCACACATGCTAGGCGAGTGCTCTACCACTGAGCTACAACCCCAGCCCTAGAATATATATTCTTTTAGAATATATATATTAATTATTATTATTATTATTATTTTTGCTACTGGAGATGGAACCCAGGGTGCTTTACCGCTGAGCTATATCCTCAGTCCTTTTTATTTTATCTTGATACATGGTTTTGCTGAGGCTGGCCTCCAGTTTGTGATACTCCTGCCTCAACCTCCCAAGTCTCTGAGTCAGTGTGAGCTCTTGCCGCAAGACCCCCGCCCCTGTCTCTGGCCTGGAAGCTCTAGCCTCCAGCCACCTTTTTTGAAGAGTCTTCCGCAGGTTAAAACCAGCGGTGAGAGGGGCAGATGGCCTTCTGCGAAGGCAGAGAGGAAGATGACTACAAGAGGCTGCAGGGGACCCAGGGATGAGAGTAGGAGTCAGGTGAGAGCACGGGTCGCGAGGAGTCAGAGACTCCCGGCTTCCTTCCCGCTCTAGATAATAGCTGTTTGCTGGCGTCTTTTCCAGGGTCATCCTTGGACCCTTCCAGCCATCCAACAGGAGGAGTTACTATTGCCATTCTACTTTGAGAAAACTGAGACCTAAAGTCTGCCTGCCAGTGATGGTAGAGCTGGAATTAGAATTCAGATCTGGCTGCGCTTGATGACTCCGATCCCCACCCATCTGTGAGCCTGTGAGCGAGGCCAGTACCGGGAACAAATGTGAGGCCCGGGACCCACCGAGGGAGGTGAGCAGACCGCGGGGAGGGCTGGCCGATCCCCTAGTTTCTGCAGCGCAGGGGGCTGGACCGCGAGGCTCGGCGCCAAGGGGCCTGCTGAGCGGTCTCTGCCAAGAGGGGGCGCGCGGGACGCCCCAACGGAAGCTCCGGGACGTGATTGCTGTCCAGGTCTGAAGGGGTTGACCACTGGCCAAGAAACCCGCCTGGAGGGAGACCCTGCCCGGAGGGAGACCCTGCTCAGGACTGGAGGAGACCTCTCAAGTGCCCCAGGTAGGGGCGGAGGTGGGCCTCTCAGGGTGGGAGAGTGGGAGGGTGGAGGGCCTGGAGACGTCCCCCTGCCCAAACCCGGATCCCCAGACTCAGCACCACCTGACCCACCCTGGTGCAGGGCAGGGTCCGTAGCCGGGTAGCTAGGTTAGGGTCCATCTTGGGTTCTGTAAAACATCCCTGAGGCTTTTGGGCCCTGGAAGGGTCGAGTTGTGGCATTGAGGGACTATAGGGTTGTCAAGGAAGGAACCTCTGAGACCCCCTAGTCAGTGGGAACCAGGCCTCACCCCAGGCCTACCTGGGAGGCGCTTTAAATTGCCCCYTTTCAGCGTCCAGAGTATTTGGAAATCACTCAATCTAACTGAGGCCAATGGTGGTTGGTGAGGTGAGTGGGCAGCCATGCAGAATTCTGGTTCCCACTCTGATACTGACTGTGACTCCTCTATCAGTCATTCCCTCTCTCTGGTTCTCTTTTTCTTTTTCAATTAAAATTCCTAGGATCCTAGAGTATGGCCTATATCCTTGCATATCTTAGATTGCATGTCCTTGGAGCACAGTTATCCAGTACTTGTACTAAGGGCAGTTTTCTGCAGGGTCCTGGACTAGGGCCTTGGGAGGAGGACAAGGGCTTCATCACTGGACAGCTGCCTGGCTAGGGAGGGAGCACACTGCAGGTAGTGCCTTGGGTAGCCCCAGGCTGGGGAGCAAAGCACTGTGCCATGTGACATGTTGATGTGTCTCTCCCCCAGTAGCTTCCAAGAGCCACTGAGTCCTATGTGTTTTCATCCCTGAGCCCCACCATTGGCCCAAGCTAGGCAAGGAGCAACCAGTAAGTGCATAGTTGGTTTTTGTTGATGGAACAGAGTATGGCTGTTGCCTGGGAGAGCTGCATGGAGTGGACAAAGTGGCACTCTTCAGGGGAAATGGAATCTGAAGGGACTCGGAGAGCAGAGAGGGCACCCTGGGAAGGAACCCAAGGAGGCTGCGGTGCTCCCGATTGACTGGTGTTCCCCATCAGGGTGGGGACAGGAAGGATGGGTGCTCAGAAATTTTATGAAAGGAACATAGTGTGTGAGGCAGGGTGATAAGATGGAAGCATCGTGGGCTGGGGATGTGGCTCAAGCGGTAGTGCGTTCTCCTGGCGTGCGTGCGGCCCGGGTTCGATCCTCAGCATCACATAAAAAGATGTTGTGTCTGCCGAAAACTAAAAAATAAATTTTAAAATTCCCCCTCTCTTTCTCTCTCTCTCTTTCTCTTTTTTTTTTAAAAAGATGGAAGCATCATGAGGGGAGGAGAAAGCAGTATAACCTCAAGGCTGGAGCTGGGATGAGTGAGGGAATGTTGGAAATAGAGAAAGACAGATGTCACTTCTAGACAGGTTGAGGTTGGAGGGTGGATAGCTGCCAAATGAGATACCCAGTGTACACCATCCCATGCAGTGGCTGTGACTCCTTCCTGTTGAGTTTTAGAGCTAGAAGGGCTCCTCAGCATTCATCACTGTAGAGTGAAGGAGACTGGCCCTGAAATTGACATGACTCATCAGTGTGGCCTGGAGAGTGGAAGATAGAAAGGGGAGACTTAGAGAGAGGGGAGAGTACAATTCTTCAGGGGAAAAGAGGAACTGGTGATTGACAGAAAGGAGGAGAAAGTACATTCAAACATTTCCAGGTCACCTTGACAGCACTGAGGAGGAATACCTGTTTAGGCATTAGTAATTGGTCAGCATGTTTGGGTGTGGGGATGCAGGAGGGATCCACACCTCTACCCTCTATCATCAGGCTTGTTGGGCTACAGTGATCAGCAGCTCTCAAAGACACCCGTCCCCTTGGCTGAAGCAAAAGAGTCTGCATCTGGACTGTGAAGGGGTCTCAGGGCCTGGCACTGGGCAGGAGCCTGCACACCCGGCACAGGGTGCAGGGACCCAGGGAGGTTTGAATTTTAGATGTCTGCCCTCCACCCTGCCCTTAATCCTGAGCACATCTTTAACTGAGCACCTGAGCACAAAGCACTGAGTTTGGCACTTTGCTATGTATTGCTTCATTTGGTCCTTCCACTGGTCTCAATGGGCAGGTGAAATCTATATCTATATCTATATCTATATCCATATCTATATCTATATATATACATATTATGCATACATCTATATGTAGTATACACCACACACACACACACACACACACACACACACACACACACACACACACATTTTTGCTTTTTCCCCAAATGAGGAAGCCAGGGCATAGGGAGTTTGAGTTTGAGCAAGTTCCCAGGATGACACAGTTAGGGACAGGGGAGGCTGTGGCAACAGTCAAGGGCTCCTGATCAAGACTTGCCTAGTATGGCCTAGCTGTTCTTTTAGAAGAAAATATACTGACTGATGGTAGCAAAAGAGAAAATATTTTGGGATGAGAGACTCCATGGAAGAGGGCTCCTTGGATGAGGGCCTTGACTTCCAGGATTAGAGGGAACCTGGGAATTCAGGAGGCTCTCTGTGGAGCACTGAAATTATGAGTAAATCTTTCTTTAGTAAATCTGCTCATTTTTCAGCAGAGGCCTCCTCCTGGCCCAATGGACCCCATCCCCAGTTTCCTGTGGTCAGAAGGCTTGTCATTGAGCAAGGGCACTTGGGGTTCTGGCCTCACAGCCTCCCCCAGGCCCTCATTCTGCAATCTAAAGAAAAACAACTGACACAAAAGAGGCTGATGGAGATGTGTTTTGTTGGCAGTGGCATGGGGGTTAACAGAATTGAAAAATTGAAACTGTAGAGGTTAATGACCTTGGGAAGGGCTGGGCTGATCTCCTCATTGTGCCCGAGGAGGAAGTTGGGGCTCCCACCATGCCCAAGGCCACCCAGTGAATTAGTGCAGACAACATTTCCTGCATGTTTTAGGTCAACCTCAGAGGCCTGGAGGCTGTAAAGTTAAGCAAGACAAAGAAATCCCCATGGACAAGCCTCACCTATGTGCCATGCGCAGTGCCTGCATTTCCACGGTCATCATTTCCTTCACCCCGAGCCACGGGAGGATGTGGAGAAGTCCCACCTCTGCCATCACTTTTCCCTTGCACAGGTGATGCTGACTTTAGAGGACAAGAACATGAAGGGACTCACCTGGGCCATAGTCCTGGTCTTGACCTCCCTGGGCTACCTGCTCATACTGCTGGTCTCCATCTTTCCCTTCTGGGTGCGGCTCATGGACGAGGAGACCCAGGATGTGTTTTTCAGTGGCCTGTTTGAGAACTGCTTCCATATCAAATGCTGGAAGCCTCGACCCTTATCCAGTAAGGAGGGCTGGGGGTAAGGATGAAGAAAGGGGAGATGGGACCAGTTTAATGGCTGGGTGGAGATAGATAGGGCAGGTTGGGGGCAGAGGACCAAATTTAATAAGCCCATAAGCGCATTTTCTCTGAATCTTCACTCTTTTGGGGTGAGAGGAATGTAGGGCACTGTGAAAGGGTGATCATGTCGTGTTGACCACTGAAGTAGGGGCATATGTTTTAGGAACCAAGTTTATTTCCAAGCCATGATTCTCTGTGGGGGTGAGGAAGGGTTTCTGCTCTGCTCCTCAAGGTTGAAGTAGCTCCTAGTGGAGCTGAATTTCAGCTTCCCCAGTGACCGTGAAGTGACAGTCCTGCAGATACTGTGCTCAGGCCTGAGGACCACATTTGAGATGGAATGGACACAAATACTTGAGTTCAGAGGATGGTGAAAGCACTTGAGACTATTTTTACCAACCCCCCCAAAAAACAAACAAACAAACAAAACACCAAAAAACAACCCTTTTCTTTCTTTTGGTTCTGGGGATTGAACCCAGGGTCTTGCATAGACAAAGCATGTGCTGTCATCACTGAGCTACTTTCCTAGCCCCTTTAAGGAAAAATCTGAAGGCCCCAAGGATGTCTGTCTTGGAAAAGACGCGACCCAGGGAAACCCAGGGACTACTTTCTTGGGAATAGGAGAGGCCTCCTTGGGGGAAGATGGCCTGACTATGTGAGCTCTTTGACCCAACGTTCCTCAATCTTGGTGCTACTGACATTTTGGGATGGGTAATCTTTGATATGGGGGCTCTCCTATTTCTTGCAGGATGGGAAATAGAACCCCTGCCCTCTTCTACCCATGAGATGCCTGTAGTACCACTCCCCACTTAGTTGTGACAACCCAAATTGTCTCCAGGTATTGTCAAATACTTAAGGGACAAGTAAAGGAGGACCATCACTGATTTAACCCAAGGGTAGATTCTGGAATGTCTGGGTGTTCAGAAACACCTTTGTCTTTTGTCTTCCTCCCAGATGTCCATCTCTGTTTGCTCAGAAGGGCATTCAAACTAAATTTCACATGGTGGAAATCATCAATGGGAGAGCAAATCACCCCATATCCAGACTCTATTATTTTTGGTCTATTTCACTTCTCCTATTAAGAGGAAAATTAAATAAGGCTGAGGGGATTCCCTGTGAAGTTGAACATTTCGATCTCGTGGAGTTCTGAATTTCCACGGGTAGTTATTTTAGCATAACCAACATAGATGTGAGTTTTCACGATTGCACACACAACCAATTTTTATCAGGAGAGTTTGCTTTTATGTGTTTTATGAAAACCATTGTTTTTCCCAAATGGAAGATACATGATTTCCTCATACACCATCATATATGTTAAGAACTGATGAATGACTTTCGTGTCTGACATTGTCAATCTATCTTTCTCCCCATATGCTTCCACGTTGTTGGGAACAAAATGGTGAGGCCGGAGCATTCTTGGGGGGCAAAGTGGCAGGGTCACAGCTTTGGTCCCAGGCTGTGATCTGAGGGTGGTGGAGGCTCCGGGGCCCCCTGTGCCAGGCTCTGAGGGTCTCTTGCCTTTTGGAGGGCAGGGTCTCCAGCTCCAGCCCTGGCTCTTCCTCTCCTGCAGTCTACATCCTCCTGGGCCGGTTCTTCCTGATCTCTGCAGTTATCTTGGCTTTCCTCACCATCTTCCTCACGGTGTCCTCTGCATCTGAACTCTTCCCAAGGACTTGGAAGCACAATGTTGTGTCAGCCACTGTCAGCTTCCTCACAGGTGTGCAACAGCCAGGCAGTCCCTGACCTCTGAGGGCCCTTGAAGGGATGCAAAGGGAGTGGGTGGGTGGTTTCTGTGATATGAAGAGTCATGTGATTTTTAAGGTTCCTCCTGTATGAATTAATTGACCCCCACACCTGCCCTATTAGAATTTATGATGCCTCTTCCTTGGGGCTTCTCAACACTCTACATTTTCCTCTATGACCCTGTTGCTGGGGTCATATGTCTGGTAGGTCACCTGGCTAGTCAGGGATTGTCATAGAATCTGGCAAAGAATTGTAATTGAGCTGGGCGCAGTGGCGTTTGCCTGTAATCCCAGCATATCAGGAGGCTGAGGCAGGAGGATCGTGAGTTCAAAGCCAGCCTTAGCAACTTGGTGAGGCACTAAGCTACTTAGTGAGACCTTGTCTCTAAATGGAATTCAAAATAAGGCTGGGGATGTGGCTCAATGGTTGAGTGCCCCTGAGTTAAATTCCTGGTACAAAAAAAAAAAAAAGAAAGAAAGAAAGAAAAATAATTGTAATTGAAATATATAAGTGAACTATCAATGTTTCTTGAATGAATGAATGGAAGAGACCTTCTTTGCTCTTTTGAACTTTTTGACATTTGAAAAGAGTGACCAGGCTCCAGGCTGGGAAGCTCCCAGGACTATGGAGAAGTAGAATACATGCAGGGGGTGGGGAATCTGGTTGAGTTTCATCCAAAGTATTTTACCTAGAGGGCCCAACCTGAACTGAACCAAGGGCATATACACCAGGGGTCCCAAGAAAGGAGTTTCTGTTGGCGGGACCCCTGGGTGGTGAGGCACATGTCTTTGAGATGAGCTGGGAATGATTGATAGTGTGCTAAGCGGGTGGTCGTTGGCTCAGAGTGGGCGAGGGGGTAGATAGGAAGGAGCCATTAAGCAGGAGCCACATGGGCTCTGTCTGATTCAGTGTGAGGAAGGTTGGGTGAAGACAGGTAGCCCAGGAAGAGAGCAATCATGCTTCCCATGATCCTACAGGGATCTGTGCCTTCCTGGCCATGTTGCTGCATGCCCTGGAGATCCGGGATCTGAGGATGAAGCCCAGTCCACCACAGTTCTCCATGCAGTGGCCTTACTACATCCTGGGCTTTGACATCCTTCTGTTCCTGGTGGCTGGTGAGTGTCCTGTGGCTGTTACCCACTCCTTGCCCTCTTGTCTGTAATTAGGAGCTTCTCTGGGGGAGCTGCACTGTTCCAAACTATAGCCACTAGCTACAAATAGTTATTTAACTTTAATTAAAATGAAATTAGTAGTTGTAGACAGTTAGAAATTCACTTCCTCAGCCATACTAGCCCCATTTCAGATTTTCAACAACCACACATATCTGGTGGCTACCACATTGGACAGTGTAGTGTGATTTCCATCTCTGCAGAAAGTTCTGCTGGACTGCACGACCTCAAACCTATCCCCAAACTTGGCCTTCGGGTTCTTATCCTTCTTGGTACTAGAAAGAAAACTTCCACATGTCTGTGCTGTCCCTTACACCTTCCTGATTTCTAAGGCTCTCTATTCCTGTCCATCTTTATCTTGAAATCTATCAATCTTGTTCCTCACTTTAACCTATTATCTTGAAACATTATCATCACCTTCTAGATTCTTAATCCTGTCTGATTTTGTCCCTACTGCTAATCCTTCCTCTGCTATGTTAACCTGACCCACGATCATGTTCTATTTCAAATTTAAAATATACCAAAATATACAAAGGAATATTATTTATAGCCAGCCATGGTGGTATACACCTATAATCCCAGCAACTTGGGAGCCTGGGCAGGAGGAACACAAGTTCAGGACTGCAGCAAAACAAAAAAAATAAAAAGGGTGGGGGATGTAGTGGAGCATCCCTGTGTTCAATCCCCTGTACCACACACGCACACATACATTTATGAGATATCCATAAGATACAAGTAATTAAAAATAGAGACATCCAGTTCCCACCATAGATAAGAACTAGCTATATTTCAGTGAATCTGTTGTTCATAAGTTAAACCATTATTTTGTGTACCAATGAGGAAAGAGAAACTTGTGTAATTCTGAGATTCTTTAACTCGTAAAACATCCTCATTTCAGAGATGTTAAAATAAGAAAAAAATTTGGAATTGGCTTCTCAAAATTAATGAAATGTGGTGGAACAGTCAGTACCTTTGAAGGTCCCTCACCCCTAGCTCTTCTTGACTTCATCATCTTCTCTCCATTCCAGAACCAGTGATTCTGAGATTTATGCTAATCACATTTCCTACTCACTTGTATCCTTAACCAGCATATTGTTTAGTTTTCCATGTTTTAAAACGTTATATAAATACATTTTACTGTGTTTATTCTTCTGGAACTTGTTATGTTTGATCAATATTATACCCCTTAGAATCCTCCATGTTAATTAAGAGTAACTGAGATTCATTAATTTTTACTACCTTAAATATTTAATTGTATAAATATTCTACAATTTGCCCATTTTCTTATCAGTGGACATTGAGGGTTTCCAGTTTTGTTTCCTACTGTCACTGACTGACCTTTGAACTTTTTGTACTTATGTCCTATTGCATTTGTGCTGGATGCTCTTGAGGACATATGCCTAGGACTGAAATTCTTGTATTGAGATGATGCATATTTTCAGGTTTTCCAGATGATGCCAAATAGATTTCCCAAGGGATGATAACAATTTGCATTCCTACAGGCAGGGCAGGACAAGAGAATCCCTGTTGCCCCATCTCCTTGTCAATATTTGAAATTATCAGGTTTTTTAAACCTTTGCCAGTTTAATTGGTATAAACTGTTATGTTATTAATGTGTGTTTCCTTGATTATTAATCACGTTGAACATCTTTGAATAGCTTTATTGACCATTTTTCCTTTTCAAATTGATTTGTCAGAGGTGTTTATATATTTTATTTATTTATTAATTTTTTGTAGTTGTAGACAGACAGCATATCTTTATTTTATTTGTTTATTTTTATGTGGTGCTGAGGATTGAACCCAGTGCCTCATATGTGCTAGGCACATATGAACTACATCCCCAGCCCCAGCCGTTTTTATATTTTAAATCATGAACTACATCCCCAGCCCCAGCTGTTTTTATATTTTAAATCATGAACTACATCCCCAGCCCCAGCCGTTTTTATATTTTAAATATTTATCTATTATTATTCTATCTATTATTATTGTTATTGGTACCAGAGATTGAACCCAGGGGAGCTTAACCATTGAGCCACACCCCAGCCCCTCTTTTAAAAAATATGTTTTATATATTTTATTTAGAGACAGGGTCTTGCTAACTTGCTTAGGGCCTCACTAAGTTGCTGAGGCTGGCTTTGAACTTTTGATCCTCCTTCCTCAACTTCCAGAGCTGCTGAGATTATGGGCCTGTGCCACTACACCCAGCTGGTAGTTTTGCCATCTTTATTTAAGTTTTCAATCCATCTTGAATTGACTTATGGTGTGAAGTTGGGCTGCTTTCATTTTTCAAATGAACAGCTGGTTACCATAGTACTATGTGTCGACTACTCTGTCCTTTTGCTCTGACCTGCAGTGCCATTTTTGTTAGTAATCCTGTTCTTGTGTTCCACTCATTTATCTATCCTGGTGGACAAACCACGCTTTCACTGTTGCTCTAACTTTATACTATTCCTGACATTGTATATCTTGATATCTTGTTGGAAAAATCCTTGCACTTGTTTTCCAAATGTATTTGTTTTTTCTTGGCATTGTTTCCTTACATAGAAATTCAATAATCAGCTTGTGACAATTCCCCAAAAATATGATATTTTCTTGGAATTATATTGAATGGTCAATTTAGGAAGCATTGATTTTTTTAAAAACTCTTTTTCAATAATATTGAATCATCCTATCCATAAACATGATATTTTCTTCCTATTTCCTTGGGTGTTCTTTAGTGAGTTTTGAAAAATCTCATGATTTTTCTTTTTGTTTGTATTTTATCCCTTAGATATTTGTGCTTCCAGTATGATAATAATAGAAGTGGCAATAACTAAGGGGATTTTTTTTGGGGGGGGGGTAAAGGGGATTGAACTTAGGGGTACTCAACCACTGAGCCACATCTCCAGCCCTATTTTGTATTTTATTTAGAGACAGGGTCTCACTAAGTTTCTCAGTGCCTCGCTGTTGCTGAGGCTGGCTTTGAACTCTGTCCTCCTGCCTCAGGCTCCCGGGCTGCTGGGATTACAGGTGTGTGCCACCGTGCCTGGCTAATATTTGCTCTTATTTTTGAATTCTCCTCCCTCCTACTGTCATTGTGTCTATTCTGCTATTCTTTTTTCCAACTTATTTCCCCCCCTCCCTGGACTCAATTTACTCACAGCATCCAGGCATTGGTCAAAACTAATTTAATATATGCAAAGTCCTGAGAAGGGTGTGTTTTGTCAACTTTTTCACTACTACGATCTTTTTTCCCAACTTCTTAAAATCAGGTCTATGTTCATTGATTATTTCTTCTTTTTCTGTTTAGGTAGCTAAGGCTTTAATTTTTCTCTAAAAATTACTTTTGTCTACATCTCCCATTCTGATGTGTAATATTTCAGTTATTGTTCTATTTGAAATATTTTCTAGTTCCCCCTTTTTTTGTGTGTGGGGGGAGGGGTACCAAGGATTAAACTCAGGGGCATTCCACCACTGAGCCATTTCTCCAGCCCTATTTTGTATTTTATTATAGAGACAGGGTCTCACTGAGTTGTTTAGTGCTTTGCTGTTGCCAAGGCTGGCTTTGAACTCACAATCCAGAGCTGGGGATATAGCTCAGTTGGTAGAGTGCTTGCCTCCCGTACACAAAGCCCTGGGTTCAATCCCTGGCACTGCAAAAAAAAAAAAAAAAATTATATATATATTGACCTCGCTATCCTCCTGTCTCAACCTCCCTAGCCATGCTGATTACAGACCTGTGCCACCATGCTTAGCTATATTTTCTAGTTCCCTTTATGATATATTCTTTTTTAAAAATTTTTTTTAGTTGTTGATAGATTTTTATTTTATTTATTAATATGTGGTGCTGAGAATTGAACCCAGTGCCTCACACATACCAGGCAAGTGTGCTACTGCTGAGCCACAGCCTAGCCCATGATATATTCTTTGATTCATGATCATTTTATATTTTCTAAATATAAAAAATTTGCATCTTTGTGTTGGCTATTCTTTTTTTTTAAATTAGAGCTTGATAGTTATGCATAGTAGTTGGTTCATCTTGACAAAATTACACACGTGTGGAATTAGATTTCAGTTCAAGAGCCCCCCTTTCTGTCATCCTCCCATCCCCATTCTCTTCCTGCACTCTGCTAGACTTCCTTTTGCTCATCTATTTATTTATATTTGATTGGTTCTCGTTACTTATACACAAAGGTGAAATTCCCTGGGGTATTTTTATATATGCACATGACATGATTTTTAAAGGATTCGTTCTGCATTGCTTTCCCATTCTCATCCCTTCGCTCTCCCTCTTGATCTCAAAGCTTCTTCTACACCACTGATCTGCCCTATGTTTATGGTATCCTTTCCTTCCCTTCAGTTTACTCTAGCTTCCGTATATGAGAGAAAATATTTGGCCTTTGAGTTTCTGAGTCTCACTTATTTCCCGTGGTGTTATGCTCTCCATTCCCACTCATTTACCAGCAAATGCCACACTTTCATGTGTTAGTTATTCTTAACTCCAGTTTGGTGAAACAACATGAACTGTGTAATCCTATACCTTTAAATTTTTGAAACTTGTTTTATAGCCTATTTTGAGGTCCCTTTCCACAAATGTTAAATGTAAGCTTTTGCAGGGCATGATTGTGCATGCCTGTGATTTCAGCAACTTGGGAGGCTGAGGCAGGAGGGTCACAAATTCGAGGCCAGCCTCAGTAACTTAGTGAAGCCCTAAGCAACTTAGTGATAGCAAGATCCTGTCTCAAAATAAAAAATAACAAGGGCAGGGGAGATGGGTCAGAGGTAAAGCACCTCTGGTTCAATTCCTAGTACCACAAAAAATTCATCAGTTTTCATAACTGAAAGTGATATTTTCCCATAAATCTTGTCATTTTATACCCTCTTTTTCCTTACACATGTTATAAACATGTTACATTTTGTAAATGTATTTTTATTAGAAATGTAAAACATACCTATTTTACACTCTGTGTCTCATAAATTTACTAACTGAATTTATTTGCAGGACTGAGTCTGTTTCTACCATGTCTGCAGGCTCTTGTGGTGGTGTCTGGTTTCCAGGTGTCTGTGTCTGTGTGTTTGTGAGTTTCTTCCCACTGTGTAGTCATTTCCCTTGGAATTTTACCAGTGGAGTCTTTGAGACCTGAATTTAAAGTGTTTCCTCCCTAAGGATCTATACTTGCTTCTGCCTGGTGCAGGGAAACTCTGGGTCACCTAAGTTGAGTGTGTATCTCCAAGATGCAGCTGAATGTGTGCTAAACTATCTTTTACTTTGGTTTTGGCTTCTAAGAATACCTTACATTGGTGCCAGCTTGGTGGTTAATTTAAAAATAATTTTTAAAAAAATATTTATTTTTAAATTGTAATTGGACACAATACCTTTATTTATTTATTTTTATGCAGTGCTGAGGGTCAAATCGAGGGCCTTGCATGTGCTAAGCGAGCGCTCTACCACCAAGCCACAACCCCAGCCCTAAAAATAATTTTTTAAAGTAATAATTTATTTATAATTTTTTGCTGTTTTAAGTGGGAGAGTATCTGGTCTGCTTTAATGCTGAAAATAAAATATGTCTTTTATCTTTGTCTTAATACATCATTCATTACTTGCTTAAGAGATCTCCATTCCTCCTCTTCCTCCACCCCCTTCTCTGGATCTTCTTCCCTCTCTTTTTCCTCCCCCTTCTTCCCCCCTCCCCCTTCTTCCCCCCTTCCCCTTCTTCCCCCCTCCTCCTTCTCCTCCCCTCCCCCCTCCCCATCCCCTAGCCAGGGCTTCTTGCATGCTAGGGAAGCCCTCTACCACTGAGCTAAAACCCAACGCCTCCATTTGTTCTTATGGACATGGATTGTCCTTTTTCTCTTTTACTTTCCTGAGGGTCTTGAGTTAGGCAACAAGAGCCTAGGTTTTCTGTTGGGTCTTCCTCTCTCTAAAGCTTCTTTGCTCACATTTTATTGGTAGACAATTGCTGTGATGCTGTTCAGTCCTGGCCATGGTCCTGTGATTTTTATCCACCTGTTTGTGTTTTTTTTTTTTTTTTCTGGCGGTGGGTACTGGGGATGAACTCAGGGGCACTTAGCCACTGAACCCCACCCCTAGCCCTATTTTTGTATTTTATTTAGAGACAGAGTTTCACTGAGTTGCTAAGTATCTCACTTTTTGCTGAGGCTGGCTTGAACTCACGATCTTCCTTCCTCGGCCTCCTGAGCTGCTGGGATTACAGGAGTGTGCCACCATGCCTGGCTGTGTTCCTTGTTGTATGACATGTTCTGTTTCCTCTTCTATCTCTGTAATGCTCTGTTGGAGAGAAGGACTATGGAGGGTAGATCCAGAACCAGAGTGGCTCACAATTAGAGGAGGGAGCCCCTGACCTCTGATCTACAGCACAGAGCCTGACATACTCTCTCCGATCTCACGTTTTTTGCTGTTACCTAGGTGCCATTTGCCTTTCTCAAGGAAAAATCTGCCTTAGATGTCGCTTGTTGCCCATTTACCAGAGCACTGAAGACGTCCAGGGGACCCTACACTTGGAAAAGCTGGAAAGCTTGGGAGGAAAACTGAGCTGGGTACAAAAGGAGACCCAGCTGAGGGAAGCAACAGTTATCTAGCCCAGGACATTGTCTCTGCCCTTCCTGAAGCTGTGTGGCGACCCTTGCAGGTGTGTGCGGCAACTACTTCTCTGCCAGTCTCTGCTGCCTTGAGGAGCTGGAGCATCAAGCCAACCTTGCACGCACAGACAGTCCATCTTGCCGATGTTTAAAATTTGTTAAAAGTTCTTTGGTAAAAAAAAAAAAAAAGTTCTTTGAACTCTTCTGAGCTTCTTGAGTGATTATTATTACTTTTTTTGAAGGTATATTAAAGAAATAAAAGGGTAATTTGCATTGATCCATACCTCAAAAACCAAGCCTGGAGTCCAGGAGGGGAAGAATTTGATAAGATGAGCAAGTGAAGTAGGGTTTTAGAGAACAAAAACCTCACAGAATATAAATGCAATAGAAGGTTTTTGAGTTAATAATAAAAAAAGTGACATCTAGGGGCTGGGCCCAGGCCCAGGCTCAGTGGCAGAGTGCTTGCCTGGCATGTGTGAGGCACTGGGTTCCATCCTCAGCACCATGTAAAAATAAACAAATACAATAAAGGCATTGTGTCCATCTGCAACATACACACACACGCACACACACACACACACACACCAACTGACATCCTCAGATGAAACTGACTCAGTGCAGAAAACTTTTCTTGAGTATATGTTTATGGGAAGGGTTGAGTCTGGTTGAAGGTGAAATCTTCCCCAAGATTGAGCTCCTGAGACTGGATGCCGGAGCTCAGGGAATTGAGCCCCCAGCATATGGACACTTACTTCCTCTCTCCTTCATGGAGCCAGATGGGGCCCTAACTATAGCCAGTCAGCTAATCTCTCTTGTATTGACATGAATTTGAGTGACATTCTTCAAGTATATCTCATTTGCTGAATAACGGGGCTTTTCTGAGTGCCAGTCTCTCTGATTCCAGTGTCTTTCATCATTTTTACATCTTGGGAAAATCCTGTTCATCTCCACAATCCCAGCTGAAATGTCACTCATTTTGCAACACCTGATACAACTCTCCTGTCAAAACAGGATTAAATGCTTCTTTATTTCTCTTGCCAGATGATTTGGTATGTATTTCGTCCAAAGTGCTTTTATTATAGATAAAACACTAAAATTAGAAAGTTAAAAATAAACAGTCATGCTTCCTCCTCTAGGTATCATGGGATAATTTGAAATAGACTAATGCTGCTGTCAATAATGAGAAAATAGGGCCGAACATGCCTGTAATTTCAGCAGCTCCAGAGCCTTAGCAAAAGCAAGGCGCTAAGCAACTCAGTGAGACCCTGTCTCTAAATAAAAAATACTAAAAAGGGCTGGGGATGTGGCTCAGTGCCCCTGAGTTCAACACCCAGTATTAAAAAAAAGAATGAGAGTATGTTGATAAAATATAAATATTATTCTAAATTTAGGATACAAAGACATTAAGAAAAAAACAATTGGGCTACATTAAGGACTTGATTATGGCTCATTAAAATTTAGAACATTCTTTTCAGCAAAAGGCGACCTTAAGAGAGTGAAAGGTAAGCCATAAAGTGGCAGAAGATATTAGCAATACATATATCTGAAAATGGACCCTCTGTCAAATGACAAAAGGAAGGAATACCTCAGTAAGGAAAAGATACAACTGAATAAAAAAAACAGACAAAATGAATATAGAGAATAAACATATAAGAATGATTAATTCCATTGGTCATAGGGAAACCCAAATTAAAACTACCACATCATAATACTACACACACATCAAATTCATTAATAAGAAAAAAAAGACCCAGGCACGGTGTTGCACACCTGTAATTCCAGCTGCTAAGGAGGCTGAGGCAGGAGGATCGAAAATTGAAGGCCATTCTCAGCAATTTAGCAAGACCCTCTCTCAAAACAAAAAAATAAAAGAGTTGGGGATGTAGCTCCGTGGTAGAGTCCCTCTGGGTTCAATCCCTAGTACTGTTAAAAAAAAAAGAAAAAGAAGAATCATCTAAGAAAACAAAACATATTGATATTGGCCCAAATGCGGAACAACAGTAATTTATATACATGGCAATTATATACAGGTGAAAATACAGCAGTACAATGTACATATATACCATACAGCTCAGCAACCCTCCTTGGTAATCACTCAGTGAAACTATGAACATATGCTCACCCAAACACATATTTATAGCTGCACCATTCCCCAATGCCCCAGACTGGAAGTAACCCAAACTCAATAGTAGAATGGAGTAGTATATTTTGATATATAATACATTGTACTGTAGTTAGAGTCAAAGGATAAGTTTGGATATTTGGCATCAACCACAGACTGAGAACAACAATGAACCACAAGTAATTTTCTTTTTTTAATTTTTTTTAATATTTAGTTTTTACTTTAGTTTATTTTTATTTATTTTTTAATGTGGTGCTGAGGATCGAACCCAGGGCCTTACGCATGCTAGGCGAGCGCTCTACCTCTGAGCCACAATCCCAGCCCCTTCTTGTTTTTTTTTTTTTTTAGATAACTTTATTTAATTAATTTATTTTTTGATGCAGTGCTGAGGATTGAACCCAGGGCCTCACAAGTGCTAGGCAAGTGCTCTACCACTGAGCCCCAGCCCTATCCCCATCCCACAAATGGTTTTCAAATGAAAGAATAACCAATAATCATGGAAGTCTAGTTGAGTGACTCCATTGTATATGTAGCAGGAATTCCCAAAGAGAATGGGCAAGAGGATAGGTGGAGTGCCAAGGAGACAGTGTCAAAGACACCTTGGCTGCAATAGCAAGATTAAAAAGGAAGAGAAATCTCAAAAGAAAGTAGGGAGAAAATGCAGATTGCCTACAAAAGAACGATGATTTGAAAGTTTCTTATCAGTGATGATAGTTAAAATAGAGTAATAGCTTTAAGGTGCCAAGGAAAAATTACAGAAAACCTAGAAGTCTATATTGAGTTAAGGGCAAAAATACAGTTACAGAATAAAAGAAAGACAAAGATCAACAGACCTTATTAACCACAGACTCAATAAAGTATGTCTATAAGAAGGGACAAGGAAAGCAGAAGGAGAAATGGGGCTGTGAGACAGAAATATGATCATAGTAACTCTCCGGGATTTATAAATTATGATATAGTTATAAATTTGTGTTCAAAAAGGTAAAGCAAAACCTCGACAAATGAGATGGTTAGTTTAAAATATTAAATGAACCCTTTCCATTAGGACTTGTGTTTTGATTGAGAATCCCAATAACAGTGACTTAACCAAATGTAGCTTTGCTTCCTCACCTAAGAACTTTGGAATCTTCTTGCTTTCTGTGATGGTCAGGAGATAGTGTCAGCTCCAACCACTATGGTCATGTTCTAGCCAGGAGGATGGGGAAGAAAGGGAAAGTTGGAAAGACCA